TCTCCTGTAGGAACATATCTGATTACTGCCTCTCCCTTTGATACTAAGTCATCTCGGATAAAATGATATTTCCGTTGAATGTGTTTTGTGCGAGCACGGAACTGTGGATCTCGCGTAAAAATAATAGCTGCTTGATTATCACAGTGCAATGTTGTAGGTCCATTTTGAGCATGTCCAATTTCTTCAAAAAATGTCCAAAGCCATGCAAGGTGTTGTGCAGCATTGCTCAATGCAATGTACTCTGACTTCGTGGAGGATAAAGCGACCATGCTTTGTCTTTTGCTTGTCCAGGAGATTGCTCCTCAGATGGTGATAAAAACAAACCCTGATGTTGATTGAGACGTGTCTGGGTCTCCAGACCAATCTGCATCTGAATATCCATAGGAATCCATGTCCATGGAGACATCTGTGCCATCATATTGTAGTTCCATGTCCCTGGTTGCTTTCAGATATCGGAGGACACATTTTGCAGCTTCCCAGTGATGGCTCCTTGGAGCTGAGCTATGCCTGCTTAGTATTCCAACGACATAGGCAATGTCTGGGCGGGTTCCGAGCATGGCATACATGAGGGAGCCTACAATTGAGAGGTATGACACTTGACGCCCTTCAATATGCATCTTGTGTTGCACAATATCTTCCCCTGGAGCATTTGCAAGGAGTTTTGATCCATGGGCCATTGGTGTCCATACTGGTTTGCAGTTCTTCATTCCAGTACGCTCCAGGACTGTGTCAATGTATTGGTGTTGCAATAGGGATATTGTTTTGTTTGAACGATCACGTTGGATTTCTATTCCAAGGATGTATTTTGCTTCTCCAAGGTCCCGCATTTTGAATATGGATTCGAGTTTGGCTTTTGTGATATCCATGAATTTCCGGGATGAAGCTCCTAGGAGGAGGTCATCTACATAGACAACAGCAAAGCATATTTGTTTGTTGTCCCGGAATACATAGAGACATGTTTATGCATTTAGTCTTGTGAAACCGAGCTCCTGGAGCTTGGGATCAAAAGTTTTGTTCCATGTACGACCAGCTTGTTTTAACCCGTAGATGGATTTCTTCAATCTCCAGCAGTATCCAGGTTGGATAGGAACACCCCCTGGAGGAAGCATGTACAGTTCTTCTTCAAGTTCTCCATTGAGATAAGCTGTGGATACGTCCATTTGATCAAGTTCTAGGTTGTACTTTGCTGCCAGGGCTAGAATAATTCGGATTGACTCTAAGTTTGCAACCGGAGCAAAAACCTCCTGGTAATCAATCCCCTCCCTTTGAGTAAAACCTCGTGCAACAATCCGGAGTTTGTATCTCTCAATGTTTCCATTTTGATCAAACTTGATCCAGAACACAGGTTTTGATGTGATGGGTTTTACTCCCTTCGGAAGTGGAACAGTGTCATATACTGCATTAGTATTGAGACTTAGGAGTTCCTCCTCCAAGGCAGACTTCCATAATTCTCCATCCGGACGTGATAAGGCTTCCTTTAGTGTCCTTGGAAGGTCTGTGTTAGATGGACCAGTACTTGCTATTCCAGCAAAGAATGTTTCCTCTGTATCAGATGTTTCTTCATGAACCTCAGGAGTGTTAGGTTTCTCCATGGAGTTGTCATGCTGCTCTTTTCAAGACTGTTTCTCATCTAGAGTCCTTTGATAATCTCGGTATTTGTCTGCAGGACGGGTCTGGCAACTGCTTCTGCGTACTCCTAGGACTTTAGCAGGCATGACTGCTCTTTTAGGAACTTGTGCAGGTACTCCAGGGAGTAGACACATTTGTGTATTTGTTGCCCCACTCACTCCTGAAGGTGTTGAATCACTCCTTGGAGGTGTTGTATGCCTTCCAGAAGCTGATCCAATGGACAGGCTGTCTAGCTGTATTCGGACTTTTTCCACATCAGCTGGCTGTATGTTGAGGGGCTGTCCTCCCACTGACTGTAACTCTACTTTGGCTTTCCGTTCTGAAGATGGCCAGTGTTCAGGTCTTGGTTGTAGAGACTGTTGTGGAGGGTGTCTTAGCTGATCAGGTGCTCCCACTGCTCTCGGAATGTCTCCACAGAGGTATTGCCCCACTGCTCTTGGAACATCTTCATACTGATATGGTTCCATTGCTTGTGGAACATCTCCTTGGAGATGTGGTTCCATTTGCAATTCATTTGGATCTCGGATCCGAGGGTCAGGATCATCCTCCTCCAATGTTTTTTGGTCTGGATAGTGAGCATTCTCTGGAATGAGTCCCTCCCACTGATCTGTACTAGTGTCTGTGTTCCAGAGAGCAGTGTCATCCTTTTGTACCTTTCCGGATTCATTGAATATGACATGCCGACTGGAAAACACAGTCCGTTTTTCAGTGTCTAGGAGTTTGTAGGCTTGCTTTCTATGTGTGTAGCCAATCATTATGGCTTTGCGCCCCTTGGAGTAAAACTTCCCTTGCCTTTTGTCTTTCAGAATCAAGGCATATGCTTGGCATCCAAAAGGGCGAAATAAAGTTGGATCAACTCTCCTTTTAAACAGTATTTCATATGGGGTCTTTCCATGGAGTCCTTTGGCTGGGCGGCATGCTATGATATATGCAGCTGTTTGCATGGCTACCCAGAATGACTTTGGGAGCTTGGAATCATGGAGCATAATGGTTGCTAATGTAGCCAATGTCTGATTCATGCATTCTGCAATGCCATTTTGTTCCGGAGTATCTGCAGCTGTAGTTTCTTGGATGACACCATCTCCTCAGAGTTGATTTTCGAATGCATTGCCAGTATATTCTCCTCCCCCATCGCTCCAGAGGAATTCTGTGTATAGTGGAGTGAAGTTTTCTTCTCCCAAATGAGTCCGGAAGAATGTTTGGACATCTTCTTTCCATTGCTTGTATCATTCCAGTGCTTCACTTTTATGTTTTAGGAAATATATCCATGGAAATTTGGAGAAATCATCTACAATGATAATCCAGTACTGAAAGCCCTCCCTGGAAGTTGGTTTGATCGGTCCTCCAACATCTGTGTGCACAATTTGTATGGGGCACTTGGCTCAGTTTCCTCCAGTGGACTTGAAAGGTAATTTCTTCATCTTTCCTAAAGCACAAGGTTCACAAAACTCCGGGGTTCCGGTAAGGGTGTCTATGTCCTGGAGCTGTCCTTTTGTAACCATTTGTTGCAAGTGGTCCATTCCAATGTGTCCCATTCTCCTATGCAATAAATTTACATCTACTGCTGCAAAAGCTGACTCCGGGTTGATTTTGGGTTTTGCTTGGATGTGATAAAGTTCTCGCTTGTGTAACGCAGTGAGGATAAGTTTCTCCTTTGTCCAAATTTCACAAGCATTTGACCCTGCTGGAAAAAGTGTTGATAACCCCGTTTTGGACAATTTGTGGACAAAGACGAGTGCTAACGTGAAGTTTGGCACAAGTAAGACATTTGACAGTGCAATATTGTAGTTCTTTTTGCCAACAGTTGCTTGTAGGATTACTGTTCCAATTCCAATGGCATTTACAGAGGATTCATTCCCAAAACTGATTGTCCTTGGAGGATGCAGAACATGGTATGTTCCTGGCTCAAACCAGGAGCGGTGAGGGACCATGTGGGATGTTGCTCCAGAGTCAATAATAATTGTTGTTTTGGTCTTATCGGGTTCCGACACAAGGTAAGCTTGAATGTGTTTAGCAAGGGGCTTGGAAATATGTACATGATCCAATGCAATATGACTCTTCCTCAGAGTCAGATCTGGATGATTGCTCTGCCATATTTGCCTTTTCCTTTTCTTTTCCTTTATTCTTGTGTTTCTCCTTTCTCTTCTTCTTTTGACCTTTCCCAGCTGACTGAAGTGTTTGACACTCTGAGGTGTTGTGTGATTTGACTTTGTGGAAGTCACACCACTTCTCCTTGGACTTGAGTGCTGATTTGGAACCTCCAGGAGCTTTTTCTGACTATTGTGAAACTTCTGCAGTGATCCAGATCTCAACTGCATCAAAGGTAAGTTTATTGTTTTCAATTATGTTGATTACTGATGACTGAAATATTTGCCATTCAGGAGTACATGGGAGAGATTGAAGAAGAGCAAAGGCCATGAATTTGGTATCAACTCCTAGTTTCATTCCAGAGAGGTGTAAATCAATTGTCCGGATTTTTGCAATGTGGTCCTGGATAGGTGATGTCCTATCCCAGGACAATTTGGTGAGTTGCTGGAATGAATAGAAGGCCGAGGCAATGTTGGATGTCTGATGGAGTGAAACAAGTTTGTCAAATAACTCCTTGAAGCTGGTGAGGTCTCCAGTCCTCATTAGGAGGGCATCAGAGATGTGGTCCTGGATGATTCCATGTGCCTTCTCATCCTTAAGTATCCAGGTGATTTCAGGATCGTCCAAGGAGGTGAGCTTTCCTGGTGAGGGCTTAAGCTCCTCTCCAGTAACAACCCGGAGAACTTTTTCCCAACGTAGCTTTGAGATGATCCAGAGTTTCCATATCTAAAAATTGTTGGGTCCAGTGAGAACTGGACATGCGGATGTATCATGTGCTGTGGTCATGGTTCTGAGGTTGCCATTTCAAATGAGAATTATTTCCTGTGTAGCTCTTGCAGCAGCAGGGCTCATAACCTCATAAATCTAAGTGAAACTCAGCCGCTGCCTAAGAGGCTATAGAAACGACTGAGGTTTTCCTATACTAAACCCCCTACTACTTATAGTTGGAGGTGCTACTTGCTACATTTGCAGTCAAGTCCAACATTAGCCGATCAAAAAAGCTGCTCAGAGCTCTAATAGCAGTTTTGGTGCGGCACTTTTCCTCAGATGTAAAGTATAATGACTCCTAGGAGTACAATTATGCTCCATGGAGAACAATGGCTGCTTCAGCAGAGCCTGGGTTTATCCGATTTTGTCATGGTCATGTTTTGTTTTAAATTTAAAGCACTTACAAAAGCCATGGAATAAAATTCTGTTTTTGGGTTCCAATTATCGGCTCCCGCACGCCACCGTAGAATCTCAGATGTTTCTTAATCTCCGCTGGTGCGGGGATTTAATTATTTATGTGTTCCGCAAAGCATTCTCAACGCATATCATCTTCAGTATGGTTAGACCCACAAAATCCGTCGCACGTATCTACCGGGATGTAAATGCAAATTACGGGCCTACGTGGCATGAATATGGCCAGTTTTTTTTTTCATCATGTATGTGCATACGCCAATATCTAACCGCGGGATTGGTTGTCTAGATAACCTACAAGTACAGTGGGGTACACAAGATCATTACGAGATTGTGCGGAAAGTTGGACGAGGAAAATATTCAGAGGTGTGTCTGCGACACTTGGTCTGGTATCAGTTGTCTATCTAATTTTATCTTTTGTGAGGTTTTCGAGGGCGTAAATATCGTGAATGAGGAAAAGTGTATCATTAAAGTGCTCAAACCAGTGAAGAAGAAAAAGATAAAGCGTGAGATCAAGATATTACAAAACCTTGCTGGGGGGCCCAATATTGTCGCCCTTCTCGACGTCGTCCGCGATCCAGCTTCCAAGATTCCCAGTTTGATCACGGAGTATGTTGAAAACATGGATTTCAAAGTTTTGTATCCGCGATTTTCAGACCTTGATGTTCGGTTTTATATGCTAGAGCTCCTTAAAGTAAGAAAAAATTGTACTATTTTCTAGCTTGGTTTTACTCGTGCCCAGGCCCTAGATTTCTGTCACTCCAGAGGAATCATGCATCGTGACGTGAAACCCCACAATGTAATGATTGATCACGAGCAACGCAAGGTGCGCAGTCATAATGTCCTTAACTCACTTTTTCAACTTGCCGCACTTTATAGCTGCGATTGATAGATTGGGGACTAGCTGAGTTTTACCACCCGAAAACTGACTACAACGTCCGTGTGGCTTCGCGATATTTCAAGGGGCCGGAGCTGCTTGTAGATTTCCAGGAATATGATTACAGCTTAGATATGTGGAGCTATGGATGCATGTTCGCTTCGATGGTGAGTGATTCCTTACAATAAATCACATCTACCATTGTAGTATATTTTCTTGTAGATCTTCCGCAAAGAACCGTTTTTTCATGGTCATGATAACTATGATCAACTCGTCAAGATAGCTAAAGTACTAGGTACAGACGAGCTGTACTTATACATCGATAAGTACGGTATCCGATTGGATGCTCAGTACGACGAATTATTGGGAAGGTGAAATACGTACAATATTATGGAAGATGGAGACTAAATCCTGGTTAAACAAGGCATCCCAGAAAGCCGTGGGTGCGATTTATTACGTCGGAGAATCAGCGATATATATCGAATGAAGCGGTTGACTTTTTGGACAAATTACTGCGCTATGATCACCAGGAACGTATGACAGCGCATGAGGCTCAGGGGCATTCATATTTCGGTAAGGCTGAAGGAATTTGGTATATAATATGCTTAAACACGCCCTATTTCAGAGCCGATACGCAATCCGGTGATTGCTGCATCTGTAAATGGCGAGAGAGAATGCGCAAGCGATTTATCACCTCAATAGAAGCCTGCAACCTTCTAAGGTTTATACAACTAAATCATCAAGACTGTTTTGCAGGTCTTGCTCCCTTGAAAATATTCTTAGCTTCGTCCATGAAAAATATAGCGATGTTTTATGGCGCGTTTTCGATTTAACAACGGAAGAAAGTCGTAGCCCAAGAAGACTGATTCCTCCGTGTCTCATTCCAATGATTACTTATTATGATGCATGGCAACTGGATGCAAAAAAGTCACGCAATTGGAGAACCACAAACTATATTTCACCTAGTTATGTAGGATGTCATTTCAGGGCCCAGGACAAGCTAAAAAATTCAAAGTACAAACTGGCTGTGAGAGGTTGGTCGCGTGGATTACGGTCCTGGACACGACATTCCCTGTATTTGCAGACGGTTTGGGATTGAAATTCAAGTTTTTCACTGAGCAGAATCTGGTCTACGTGTAAATATTATATTATTCACAGACACTGCCAGCCCACATAAGACTAGGTCCAACCTGTGGCTCTGCCACTGGTGCCATGTTTTTGCTATATGATAAAAAATAATATCATGGCCCTGACATCTTGCATTCTACAGTGCATTATTGAAGATACATTATTTCATTATCACTGGTACATTAACACTAGCAAAATCACTTATTAAAGTAAGGGTTACCAGTGCTTCTCAGTGGACAGGGGACAGGTCATCACCTCCCCTGCAGGCACATTCAACATTCCAGCGAATGGAAGAGTGAATACAGAGGAAATAGCGAGTAAAAAAGAGGCCCACGGTATCTCAACAACAACTGGTTATGTGGTTCAATCCAAAAAGGGTATAAAAGCTCCTGGAAAGATACTAAGATAGGCCTTATCCACAATCAACGCCATCACATGACAAATCGTAGTGGTGTGTTTGTGCCAGTCCCCGACTCCTTTTTCAGATTTAGGGCAGGACATGACATCATATATTCTCAAAAATAACGCTAAACAATAACATAACATGTATATATAGCCAACACAAGAAGAAACACACAATACAGCTATAGATGATGGCAACAAAGAAGATGTATGTCCAAAAAACTTTGTATATTGAACTTCCAAAAAAAAGAAAGGCTGGTTGGCTGAGTCATCATCAAAAAGATCCTCAAAAAGAAAGAATGTACGCATTCCATGTTGAACGTCCAAAGGTCATTGATGTTAAGATCAAGCAATATCTGAAATTTCAATGACTGCATTTTTGCCAGATATGTTGTTTTCCACCACCAAATTCCTTGCATCAGCTGAATAAAAAACCGTCAAACGACAATGTTACCAGAGGGACACTGAGAACAAATCTCTATGTGAGTGACAACAGCCCTCTCGGGCCACATATACACATCAGTGGACATCATAAAATATTGGGGATAATATTCAGGATATCAATTTATATCATGAGGGACGAGCTCGGGAGGGCAGAGCCGCTCATCCAAAACACGTGGTACACAAGAAGGATGATTCTGGAGAAACATGTTATCCGTTATCCTCAATTGAGGAGGAGAGGATAGGTAGGGGGGAGGAAGAACAGACTAAGCATGAATAAAACGACGAGACAAAAATCTGAACAAGCTTAGATAAAAAAAGAGGACAAAGAAGACAAAGTTTTGATCAACGTGAATATTAATAAACTATACAGCTATACAGCTTAGGCAATTCCGGCACACTCCAAAACCCGAACCCGAGTTTTTTTCGGCAAAATGCGCACATCGAAATATAGACAGCCTAATTTTTACTCCCACAGATAACCCTCCTCCATAAATAGAGTCGGGGAAAGTGTTACACTTCAAGGCAAACACTTCTCGTTTAAATCAAGTGATTTATAATTTTTGTTTTGCATTGTGTAAGAAGAGATAGGTTTTTTGTGGCAAAGATGAGCCTTAGAGCTTTAGATAACCAAAGAATTTATGTTGATGATCTCGTTGCTGACCATCACAGGCCAAGTCACATCATGTGATGGCATCAATTGTGGGTGAGGCCTCAATGAGGCCTATCTTAACAATGATACAGATTGATAATGATGTAGGAGTCGGACCGACATCCACCCAAAATGCTCACAACAATTGAATTCTGGAAACCTGGATCCTACGGGTCCAGGAATAACAATAATACTGTTAAGTGATCAAAATGTTAAGTCAGTGAACTTGTGCTGTCTGTAAAGTATGTAAACTTGTGTGCAGTATACTGAATTCAAGCAGATAATTCATTGAATATTTACAAACATCAGCACATATTGTAATGTAAAAACTCTGTGGTATTACATTGATAAATTGGTGAGAAATAAAAAAAGAGACTCCAGAAATGGTAAAAGATGATAATATGATCTGATAATAAAACACTTGAGTAAAAAGGGTAAGAATTTGGGAAAAATCTACTTGCCAGTCATGGATAAAGCCAGTCAGAATTTTGTGATACACCACATTGACAGTATATCTGTCATTTTGAACCATGTGGAAATAAAACTTTTATTCTCTCTCCTGAAGTGCAGTGAGACGATGCAACGTAAAGGTGCCCATGTGAAAACACCGGAACACGTAAATCCAGCCTAACCTGTGTCATTGATTGCCCTTGAAATTTGTTGATGGTCATGGCAAAGGCAATACGAACAGGTACTTGACAATGTGATAGCTTGATGGGTAATTCTTCTGATGAAGGTTCCAATGTGAGGCTTGCAATAAAAGCTATTATTCCTGCATGTTTTCCTCCCAATACACAGCACTTCAATACATTGTAGTTAGAATTTTATGAATGATTCAAAATCATTGCTTTATGGCTCTTTAAGCCTGTGCAAGTATTAAAAACATGTAATAAGTGATTACCACCAAGTCTCAGCTGACTTTACCTTTGTTTAAAACTACTGACTTGTGATATGGTAGTTGTATATTGTGACAGTGTCTATATAGCATTTATGCAAATGCAAGAGTAAATAGAGTTTGTTTTTGCATCATGTAAAATATGTGTCACAACAAGCATAACTAACTTTTGTCACATCCAAAGTTGACAAAAAAGTCTGAAAGTAGGTAAAATGTTTAATTGTATTTTGGACCTACAGAATAATGTATTTTTGTTGACATATTTCCATTGATACTATGTTTTGTACAGAAATATAGAAAAATACATTATTGTGACAACACCTTATAGGTCCAAAATACAATTGAATACATCATTTTTTTGAAATTATTTCTAATTATCTTCCAGACTGTTTTCATTCTTGAACTGCAGCTTTGATTGTGAATCAAAGCTGTAGTCCAATGATGAACATGTCACATGTGACATAATTCCTTATGTGACAATTTTCTTGAAATTTGATTGAATCCTGCCAGCTGAGTTGTTCCAAATCTTTTCTAAATATTTTTCACCATTACACCATCATTATCATGCCCAGTAAAAAGTCACAAATGTAAATATCTAGAAATACCTTGAAATATATAGAAATTGATGAAAATATCTGTAAAAATCAGCAAAGATCAGAAACATTTGAGTAAGCCAAATCTCCAGGTATTTTAAGATTTGCCTTGTAGAAATTGGACAAACCACATTTTTAAAAAAAGAGGAAATTTGGAAATTTGGAACATCTATGTATTTGGTGTTATCTGCAAAATTCCAGTTGGATCTTCAATCACTCAAAATAACATTGAAAAATCACCAAAAATATTGAATTATCTGTAAGCTATAAAAACATGTAGGTATCACTAGAAAATGTGAAATAAGAGTTACAAAGTACTGCAAATGTCAGGAAAATTGTCACATAAGGAATTATGTCACATGTGACATGTTCATCATTGGACTACAGCTTTGATTCACAATCAAAGCTGCAGTTTAAGGATGAAAATAGTCTGGAAGATAATTAGAAATAATTTCAAAAAAATGCTGTGGATACGGGTTGGACATTTGTGCCCAAGCACCACTGGCCAGTCTTCTTTGACTTTCTGTTATCACTATATAATTAGCTTAGATCATTGGACAACCATATCATGAGACACACCATCACTCTGAAGCTCCAAGACAATGATAGCTTGGAACTCCCTAATCCCAAATCAAGAAGTAATTTTAAAATCAACCTGTGCCAGTACGTGTCACCTTGCCCTTAGATTTCTATGTTTGGTTACATAAATCAAATAGATTACAACAGAGACTTTTAAAGGAGCAAAATTTTCAACTTCAACTTGCCTTGAAAGAGAAACAGCCCAATTTGAAGACTGGTTGATCTATTGATGCAGCAAGGGAACTTACCCAGCTAGAACCCAAGAACAGAGCACTGGAAAATGAAGGATTTTCTGTGAATCTCAACATCAATGTCTAAGATACATGAATTCCGTCTCAAGTCAAAATTAAAGCTTGGGGTTTGAAGTACTATTGTAACAAAGACAAAGCTATAAAGGTAGTGAGGGGAGTGGTTACCCTTAGGATAGGACCAAGTCAGTTGTGGGTAAACAACAGGAGGACTCGCTGAGGAGTCTCCTTGATCTATTGAGGTATATATACTACTACAGTTTGTTTGTACATATGTACTGTACAGTTGATGGAGGCAGTGGCTGATGATGTCATGGGGCACAGCCCATGTAACCAGCTCCACTGCGTGAGATATTTGTATCTAAAAATAGACAAGGCAGTGCAACACGGGAAGTAGAGTTTGAACAATAATGGAAAGTGCCGCATGGCACAGGGTTAGTGTTGCCGCAGCTGGTTTAGTCAAGCTGCAGCTCAATAAGTCACAGTTTGTCAGCTTTGTGGCTTTAAGTAAGCTGCAACTTCTTTAAATTGAACTGTGGCTATTAATATTAAATGGCTTGGCGGCTTAGTGACTTAACAGCTCAAGATGCAGCTTCCACCTATAACAATCCATGGAAACAATAGACAGTTAGAACTTATACAATAGACAACTCCCATTTGAAACCACACCAATAGCAAAATAATTTCAAATTTATGTCAAAAGAATGGCTTCAGAAGTCTGTAGTAAAAAAGAAAATAAAAAAACAAATCTTGTCGTGCTATAAATGAAAACAGAAAAAAGTGAAGTAACATCCTTATGCAATAGCATTTTGAATACCACACCTTCAAATACCTTTTCCCCCAACTTCTGAGTAATACTCTTCATCCAAAACTGTTGATTGCTACACAGATGAACTTGGCAAATTGGTAGACATGATGATGTTAGTTCTTTCTGGTTCAATCATAGGAATAGTTGTACAAAAAGCCATGATGTGCTGCAAGGTTGCAAAATAGATTATGGATATAATGATAGTCAGGATCCTGATCATAGGCGAGTAAACAAGTATACAAGAGGAAGTCATGAAATTCTTTGAAAAGACCATGACATAGTGCAGCAGGCATAGTGTGAAGCTTCTTCTTCTTAATATGTCTGTACTTCTTCTCTTTGCTGCCCTTGATTCCCTGCCATGGAAGAGATCCATGGAGAAAATAAAATATAATATAGGTGATTGCTTCCAAGTCATCATGTCAGGATTGCTGGATGACCATGTGAGCATTGCATGATAAATAGTGAATAGTGCCAACCAACTTCTGGCCATCTTTGTAAGGAATATGTTCACCAGTGATTGAGTGTATGTTTTTTGTGCTTAAGCCAAGATCAATCAAATGCAGGATACCAGCGCTTCCATTGACACCAAGAAGAAAGTTTTCCGGCTTTAGATCGCGGTGAATAAGATAATAGGAATGAAGAGTTTGAATCCGTGAGATCTGAGTAGATATGAGCTACATCGTTGTAGTAATAAAAAACACTTTCCATTTGATTAAGCAACATCAGCACCGTCTTAAGGCTAAATTTAAGGCCACATAGATTCAAAACTTGTTCCAGTGAAGCTCCCAATAAATCTATGACCATTACGTTGTCGTCTTCATGAGATCCATACCAATATAATTTGGGAAATCCTATGCAACCTCCAAGTCGTTCATATATCTGTGCCTCTCTCCAAAGATGGGTTGATGAGGTATTGCCAGCTTCCAGCTTAATGGCAACATCCTCATGATTAAGCATATCAAAGCCACCCTAAACCTCTCCTTTATGATATTGGTATAATTAAAAACAAATTCATAAAATATATGAATATTTACCAAAAGATCCTGAGGCGATATGCTCCTCCCAGCAGTATTGATAATTGATGATCATGGACAGATCAAATTTGTCCTTTGAGGCAGTCATCCTGAGGAAAAAGGGAGCCTATATACACCAAGATATACACAGAAATAAGGCGGAACAAAAGTTGAGGAAGGATTAGTTGGACTCAGAGTTGGAGTTTGAAAGAACAAAAAGTCTTGTACTATATTTAGCTGCCTGGGAAAACACGGTACACAAAATAGGACCTCAGTAACAACAAAAGTATGAATTTTTGAATACCTAGACCTACAAGCTGGTAACGCAAATTTTATCAGACTTAGAAGTTGACAGAATATTGAGAAAAAATCAAAAGGAAAAAATAAGACATAGTACATTTACAGCAAGCCACATATTGTAAATTATAAACATGCCAATTCACATTTTCAGAATAGAACGAACAAAAGCAGGTAATAACATTTCCTCTAGAGTATTACAAAATGACATTAAGTTAGATCCATCACGGCATGCAGAGAACTTGAGGATTTGTAAAGCTTCTATAATGTCAGCACTGAGGCAATTTCTTCTTGGTGTGGCAGTCAAAGCAGCTGAAGAAAACACCCACTTGCGAGGGACTGAGGTTCCTTAAATTGGGAGGTAGTCCAATGCCATAGAAAATAATGTGGGGAATCTGTGGGAATGCATCTGATAGATGGATGCAAGGAATTGGTATCAAACAGATAAAGTATGAATTATTCTTACCTCCCACCACTGAATAATATTGTATTCTTCTCTAGGTAATGCCAGGTAGGCATTATGCTCCTCCTCAATTGATCTCAATCCAGAGCTAATCCCATGTCTAATAATCTGTACTCCTCAGTCAAAGGACAAATAATGTCTACAGCTTGATGGTTTGTAGTTCCATATAGTTGAGGTGGTTGAAATTGCTGTGTTTGCGGCTGGCCAGGCTATGTACTAGGAGTAGATATTGTACGGTGATATTTCTGTAACTAAAAAGATTTGTTCCAGTAGAGGTCAGCCTAAATAGGTTAAGACTACCCACATAGTTCAAAGTATGAGCCTGTGCTGGTTTCATATATTCTATTCCCCATTTTTCACAAATCCAGCTATATTTGATGGCAGGGTTCAAGACTAAAAAAATAGGAGTTAAATGTATAAGTGATGAATGAAAAGGAAAAGAAGAACATACACATCAAAATAACATAGGCTAGATTCTCATCTGTCTGACAATAATAGCCAATAGCTTTATCCAATCCTGCCTGAATATATGGCTTGAGGCGTAAATGTTTATCCTGTAATAACTCCCATCTAGACATGACCAGTTTGTACACTGGGATAGCTGCAGCTAGGACTGGAACTTTCTCAAAAGACAATGTCTGCTGAGCTAAGTGCGCAACCTTGAAAATAGTACCAAATATAGTGTAATGTGAGATTATGATTACATATTGAATAGATACTCACTGAGAGAATTGATTCAAGATCTTTTAGAACTTCCCACTCTTTGGCCATCAACCTATACCTTGTAAACTCTGAGTCAGAGTCAGTAACACTTAACTCAGCTACCAGGCACTCAATAGCCTGTATATCTGTTTCAGCATAAAATTCTATTACCAAATATTGTACTCACTGGGCGCAATTCTCTAAGCCTCCCTAACATCAAGTAGGTGGAGTCCCACCTTGTCTTTACATCCAATATTAGCTCCAAGGTTGGTAAGGTAACAACCTCATTTTTTCCACTTTTATCATGTTTGATGAAAGTCCTACTTTCATTCCCTGCCTTTATAATTTCCTGCAATCGCTCTCGACAGTAAGATGACTTCCTGACAGCACGTACAAATTTTCTTGAAATTGTAAAAGACATGGAATGAGACGAAATGGTGACATTGAAACCACTTGACAAGGTAAATACAAGACTAAGAGGATATTGTTTTGAAGATCTGGTACGTGGAGCACTCTAGAGAATTCCACAGCCCTAGCCACTTTGCCATTCATCACAGGATTAAACACCATAGTACCAACACCAGCTAAATAGACAACAGTGTGATCAGCCAGCTTGATTGGCACACAATATGGGGTATAGTGGTGCACCCAATGACGATGAGGTGTCATATGAGAAGTGGCGCCTGTGTCTGCATTTCAATCAATGTCAGCATCAAGTTGGAGAGGGCAATGAGGATCAGAGGGATGAATGGAACAAAGACTTGCATTTCCAGCTGATTCAGTGACCACAGTAGATAAATTGGCATTATTGGGCGAAGATTTGGGCTGCTGAGAGGTATTCTGAGAGTTGCTGGAGCCTGCCTGAGCCTTATTGCCACGCTTGTAGCGATTCTTAGCACCCTCCACTGCCTGTTGGCGACTAGAAATGTATCTGTGGCATTTGTCTTGGGTATGACCAAGTAAACCACAGAAATCACACTGAACACGAGTAGAGGTGGTGGATTGGTTGCAATGATGGCAGTTAGGATGGGTGCAGGTGCTATTGGCAGTGGTAGACGAAGAATGCAAGGCAGAATCGACTTCAGCACGACGACGGCAATTGACCTCTTCAGCAAGGAAAGCATCCCTGAGCTGGGTCTTGTCCAAGGTGCCCAGAAGTAGTAGAGATGAAGTGAAGTGGGCATATTGATCAGGAAGCGCCCTAATCATGGCCATGCATGTCAATTCATCGTCCAATTCAGACAATGAGAAGCCAGTAGGACGAAGATTTTGAATCTGATGCATGCCTTCGTCAATTCTGGTCATGAGAGACTGCAGGGACTCGTCCTCCTTCTTTCTGATAGAGAAGAAGTCGTCATAGGCATTAAATCTCGTCCCAGGCTTCTTAGAGACGTGCACAATTGCCAGTTTCTCCCAGATCTTGACAGGATCATCAATGATGCCATCAAGATGGATGCTGCTCTTTGGTGACATTGAGGTATAATGCACCAGCAGCCTTTTCAGCTCTCAACTCCCATTTCTCTATTGCTTCAGCGTCAGTCCCAGGACACTTTTCAGCGCCAGAGACGAGCCTCCACAGTCCCTTGGTCATCAACCAAGCTTGCATTCACCACTCCACTGGGGGTAGTTAGTGCCAGACAAGGGATGGAACTTGGGATCAGAGTCAGACATGATGGGTGTTGTATAAGACAATAGAGCAATGATAAATGATGTAGGAGACGGCTATAGGCGATGGAATAGTGGCAAAGACAATGGGCAACAGTAGGAGGCGAGCAGATAAGATGGTGAGGCGGTAGAGAGAGGATATGGAGAGGGTCAGAAAGCGCAAGGATAGGTCCAAATAGGGTCCAAAAAGCGTCTAAAAGCGATCCAGGAGGGTGCTAAGGCTTCCTAGTGCTGCTACAGGGTTACGCCTGTGTTCCCCTTTCAATTCCACACTGATATTAACAGAGAAATCGCCTCGAGACAGTGTTGGTTAATAGGGCTTGTATATGAGTCAACAAAGTGACTTAAGCTCCCCAAACACCGCAGACTGAGAGAGGCTCTAGGCAACAGCAAACTGAGGCAATGCAGGCGAGCTTCACAGTCTATAGGCTTGTTCTATCTGATAATGGACAGAGTAGAGAAGATTGGAGCTTTATGCACACACCAGATATGCCAAAAAGCGACAAATAGGGCAAAAAGTCGAAATTGATGCAGAGACAGATAAGATGGATGGATTGCCACCAAATCAGAGGTATAGGGAACATTTTTATAGAGTAATAGATGGCCCAAATATCACAAGAAGTGAAGCACAGGATGTGGAGATATGCAATAGGGGTCCAATAGGGGTGAAAGTGCCAAAAATGCGAACTTCACAGAGGATGATGGAGTGGATGGATTGCCCCCAAATTGAGGGTGTAAAGTGCAATAGTATAGGGTAGTAGATAGCTCAAATAGGGCCAAGATCCGAGCACAGGATGTGGAGATATGGAATAGGGGGCCAAAAGGTGATCAAATGATGATGAAGGCTCACAGAAAGATCCAGCTCAAATCCAACCGCTCTGACAGGTCTCCTAGGGTTATTTAGGTCGTAAAAGATGATGGTAGAAGTTACAGGACGATCAGATAAGGATTGGGCGAGATATGGTGCAGATAAGACCAAAAAAGCGTCCGAAATGGGGGTAACTTGCAACAAGGAGTTGTTGTTGGAGATCAAGATGAGATCAGAGTAATCTGAGGTGATGGATGAGATAATAAGAGTCCCAGAAGACGATGGATACGATGGATAAGCAGTAGGACACTTGGATGGTGAGATATGAGGTCAGGAAGATGGCTAGAGCACAGGGCTCATAACCTATTAAGAACAAAGCTTGAAGGAAGTGTCTAGCCACTTGCTGAGAGCAATCAGGGACTGGAACTAGAGTCCAATGTGAGTAACTTTATTATTAGAGAGTATGACAGGTATACAGTACCTAGAGTCCAATGTGAGTAACTAGAGAATAGGAAGCATTGGACTCTGCAGTACTGTCCGAAGTTTTGTAAACAAAGGTAAGCAAAGCAGCCACAAAGGCAATAGAGAACACAGTCAATAGTGAATGATAGAAAAATAGATAGAGAAAGGAATGAAAATATATAGGTAGCACAAAGGTGCAGAATCACCAAAACTAACAATATGTTCTCCTCTCGTGAGATAATTGTCTGCATGGAACTCTGTACCTACATTACTCCTTACTCCTTACGAGCTCCTGCTCCCCCAGCAGTATGTCACAATAACACATTTTCAGACCTTTCCTTTTTATTTTCATTCTCCGCTTTAACCTTTTACTATAGTTTTCTCACACTATGCCATGCGGCACTTTCCTTTTATTCAAACTCCTCTTTCTTGCGCTGCACTGCCTTTCTTCTTATTTTAGCTACAAGTCTCTCATGCAGTGGAGCTGGTCACATGGGCTGCGCCCTTTGATATCATCAGCCACTACTTTATCAACTGTATAGTACAATATGTACAAACAACCTGTAGTAGTATAAATACCTCAATAGATTCAGGAGACTCCTCAGCGAGTCCTCCTGTTGTATCCTCACAACTAACTTGTTGAAACCTAAGGGGAGATCTGTTTCTTATCTCTTTACTCTCTGACTAATCAGCGGTACATACTGTTGGTTGGTAACCCGTCGCTCTGACTGGTCAACGGCACATACTGTTGATTGGTATTCTCTTTGCTTGTTCTAGTTGTGCACCAGAGTAACTAACTCTTGGTTGTTACACAGTATATAAGCTGTTATTCCTGTACTCTGTTGCTGTAGTTCAAATATTGAATAGATTCCCTTGCCTTTTTGCCAGCCCTTTTCTAAATCTTTTCTGATCCTTCTCCGAAGGATCTTTACTCTACTTCCCTGTCATCCTCTACTCTCCTCCGTCCATTTTTTCCGTTGAGTTAGGGACCAAGGTCTGCAGAAGGGCCTAGCGCATGAGCTAAGCCAATTCCCCATCTTATCCCCCATACTCTGTTACTCCAACCCCCCACTCCAAAGAGGTTATGGTTCTGACACATGCAATCATATCTCTCGGGTGCCAAGCAGAAATATTACAAAAATATTAAAAGCTCAAACTGTTACAATACACAAATCTTTGGACCTTTAAATTTCATTCTATACTTTAACTTTCTTTTGTAGTTTTCACACACTGTGCCATGCGGCGCTTTCCATTTTGTTCAAACTCCACTTTCTCACACTGTACTGCTTTTCTCTATCCTTAGCTACAAATCTCTCATGCAATAGAGCTGGTCACACAGGCTGCACCCTATGACATCATCAGCCACTGCCTTTATCAACTGTATGGTACACATGTACAAATAGTCTGTAGTAGTATAAATACCCCAATAGATCAAGGAGACTCCTCAGCAAGTCCTCCTGTTGTTTACCCACAACAAACTCAGTCAGATCATAAGGGGTATCCACTCCCACTCACTTCACTCTTACTTGTCTGAGTTGTGCACCAGAGTATACAAACTCTTGGTTGTAACACAAACCAGATCACCTCAAGACAAGTACCCAACTCATAAATCCCAATGCAACTGGACTCTGCAACACTGCATTGCCATGGTTTTGGAGCATGGATTTGAAAGGTGACACCTCCAAACAGACCTGGATGTCTGAATGTATGTACACTGGCCTGGTCATGGTTTCACGGTATCAAATAACTAGCATTTAGTCATAAAATACAGGGTCCATTATACTATGTCATAGTAGTCCAGTATTCCCGGGCTGTGTAGCAGTCCAATACTTCTGAGCTTTGTAGTAATCCAGTGTTCCTGGGCTTTGTAGTGATACAAAATTCCCGGGCTTCTACTTGCTCCCGGTATCCAACCTGGTATCCAACTACAGTGTGCCTGGGTTCCACCCTTTTATTGAGTGAGCTACTACAAATAGCTACAAACTTGCAGCAGTGATGTACCCAGATCAAGACAGTTCTGCTACTATTCCATATTTATAACTGCATAACATGATTATGTGGAGGTACTGACCATCCCGGAGTCTCCACCCCGCATATTGTATGTACATACTCCCTCATGTAAAATGCAACACATATTCTCTCACCACTGCAGGATGAAAGCCCGTGATTCAACAACTTCCCACTAAATACAGCAATAGTCCCACTATCAAACTTGGAGCAAAAACCTGCCCCGGTGAGCTCCAGAATGGCCTCATTGTAGTTTTCTACGCTTGCCAACATGTCATACCACTCTGCTTTGGAGAGACAACCCCAGTGTACTGGTGTCTCCTGATGGCTGATGATAGAAAGTGTATTAAAGACTGAGCTCCATGCCTTTAGTACTGTCACATCATCTATATGGTCCTCACCTCAAACCAGCACCTTCCAGACCAACTCATAGAGCACAGGGTGAGCTACATGCAAGATTACACTCATAAGGGCCCTGGCCTCCACAAAGGATTGCAACCACAGATTCTATATGCAATCACATCTCCTAAGATTTATGGGACCTACATCTATCTACCGGGTGAAAATGACCCTCTCCCATTGTATATTATTGACGTCCCCAAGTTCTGCCGCTTTGCTGGAGCAATTGGAGCTATTGATGGCACACACATCACATGTATCCCATCTGCAGCTGAGCATGATGCCTCTCAGAATTGCAAAGGTGGGCTGTCACAAAACTGCCTCACCTGTTGCAATTTTGACTTGAGGTTCACCTACATATTGAGCGGGTGGGAAGGGTCTGTACCTGATGCGGCATTATTTTATGACACTCGCTTGAATAGTCTGCGCATTCTGCAAGGTAGATTCTACCTAGCGGATGCTGGTTTTCCATCATGCCCACAGCTGCTCATTCACTATTGTGGTGAGTGATACCACCTCCAGGAATACGCTTGAGGGGATCACCAGTAAGTGTGCCCTCATTTTGTGTAGTCTGCACTGACAGTCTTTCAGACCACAGAACTCGCAAGAATACTACAATCTGCAACACTCCTCCGCTCAAAATGTGGTTGAACAAATCTTCGGCATCCTCAAACAACATTTTCAAATACTGCTCCTTCCCCCTGAATATAGCATGGCCATCCAGGCCCATGTCCCCCCTGCTCTTTGCTTCATCCATAATTTCATACGGGTCCATGACCCGCTTGAAATCAATGGCTTTGACGACATTGATGACCCAGTTCCCGATGCTACAACCGGTACACTTGCTGCCGAACCATCCACTCTGGCCAAACATTCAGATGTGAGCACTAGGCAGGATAGAATAGCCAGGTTGATGTGGGCCAATTATCAGGACGAGTTGCGTCATAGAGGTAATATGTAGCTGTTTTGTTTTTTTCAAGATATGAATCAGTCAGTTTTCTTACTGCTTGGAACAAAAAAATATTGCAATTGTAAGAGTAACAGGGATAACATATAATGATAACTTTAAACAAAAAAAACCATATACTAAATGTCATCTTTTATGACAGACTTAATACACGCCATACACAAGTCCTCCCATTGCAAAATGTTCAGGTAAGTATCCACTATCCCAATGTCCTGCTGAAATACATTGATAATCTTGACTAATGTAGGGATGCCGAGTTTGCTATCAAGTTCCTGCAAGCCCTGGATGGCAATGTTTTGCCAAATGTATACCAATTGTTTCATGATGTTGAAGCGAAAGCCTGCAATAAATGAGGCAGGAGTTGGAGGCACATCTGAGGGCCCAAGTTGCGTAAAAGGGGGAATGGCAGGGGCATAAGCCTGGTCAGGTCCAAACTCATACTGGATTGTGTTGGTGATGTCTTTCATTATTGGCACAAACTGGGTGAGCGTATTATTCAACCCAGTAAGTGCATTGGCGGTCATTAGGTTTAATGTGACTCGTGCAGTTTTGGACCCACAGCCACTCACTGTAATGCTTGCATTCTTTGAGCAAGTCACAATTGACATGGCATCATCATCTTCTTTCGCATCAGGTGCACACTCTTTTTGTTTACTACTCGTGGATCCCTGCATAGTAGAAACCACCGGTGACATTGGTTGCTGAGGCATAGACATCTTGCTAACCAGCTCCAAGTCCCATTAGTGCCTGGAGATATTGATAGGTGCTTTAGTCAGGACCGTACTCATCATGAGGATACAGTTCCTGCACATGCAAGACAATACTTATTACTAGTACATTCTCTCACCTGCTGATTAATCCTTGAAGTCATACAATAAGTTATTCTTTTTCTTATTGGATAGTTTCATCCTCAGACCACTTCTCTTTTATTCTACTTCTGGTCTGAGAGATAGACAATTAGCTATACAAACCATACATACTCATGTGTTGTTCTTTAGCTTTTTATTACTTGAATTACCCACTTTACTCCTTATCAGAAACCCTTGAGTCTACTATCAGTCCTCTATCTGCTATAATTTCTAGCACCTGTCAACCCCAAACTCATTGTACCTCTTATTCCCTGCAAGTGCAGTCGGAGAAGGGTATCATTTTTGTTATAGTTTAATGTTGCCTCACAAATTCATCCACAGCATCAAAATGAGGCCAGCCTTTGTTTCAGAAATGACTCACTCCAGGGTGTTTCTAACGTATGATCAGCAATGTTAGATCTGCATAGATGGTGTACATACTTAATATACTCATGCCAAACTGCCTCATTTGCAATGCTAATTGCTGCACTATGCTCATTATCCCAGTGAAAGCCAGATTGTTGCGATAATGTTTTGATATTCTTGTGGATAGCTTTTAACTAAGTAAATATCATTATCAGTGGTGTAAATCGATTGTGAACAATCTGCACATGCCCTTTGCCATTTGCTGTTGCAAGCCTCCCACCCTTTGAAAGCACTTGCAGTATGCGTTTCTGCAAATTGTTTGAGTAAAGGTGCCCAGAAAGACTTCTTGAATGTTCCACCATCGGCAGCTACTACTAAGTTAGCTTTAAGTTCCTGTACGGACTCTTACTAATCAGTACATTATGCAATATAGCATTTTGGAAACACATTGTTCAAGCATGTCCATAAATCTATAATGTAAGCGCTACAGTCTTAGATATCCTCCTGGCAACAAGACACCACCAGATTTGGAAGTTATGAGATATTTGCATATCCAACGTCAAATAGAAAATGATGCCTAAAAAGGTGAGAGACAGGTCTTTGATGAGAAGACTCTGATCCAGCCAGGTCATCTTCAGGACAGATTTTATAGTAATTCTAGGGTCAAATATTTCATGTTAAGTCTCTCCAACAGTGTTTGTTTGCAGTAAGTTATTTCCATCACAGTCTTTTTCTTGACCTTGACATACAAATGTGATTCAAAAGCCTCAACTATGTAATGAAAAGATTCTGAAAACACATTATCAGCAGCAACTATACATTCCTATGTAGACAAATCTTTTTGCAGCTAGGCATCTTCACACTTCACCAGAAGTCCTACGAGAAGTGTAGACAACAAGTTTCTGTGGTGCTCGCAAAAGCTCATATGGCCTTGAGCAGCAAGAAGTGCCATCCTGAGGATGCGGACAAGGCAAAAATCCTTGCTGACCCAAGTCCCACCAACATCGAGCAAAGTCAGGGCACACTCAGTTCTACACCTAATAATGGTAACCTCAGCATATCAAATTTTCAGAGTAGGATATATTGTATTAACTGTGGGCTCAAAATAGTGCTGCTATATAGAGCTATATGATAGACACTTGTTTAGGCACACTATAGCTACTATATTCCCTATATAGCACTATAGTGGCTATGATAGCTATGAAAGACAACTAGGTTTTTCCTCATGGAGGACAAGTCCATAGCTTCCAGATCAATAGAGGATGCCCACACTTGGGATTAAAGAGTCACATAATGAATTGGGCAGATCCATTAAGTTTACAGGCCTATTGAAAGGCTACTGTGTTGACGAGGTAACTGTTTGGAGTTGGGGTATCAGAGGTCGGAGTTTATGCTGGTTAGGTATTCAAAGTCTCCAGAGGATAGAATGAGATGTTGTTTAGTACCCAATTAATCAACAGATTGTAGCAGGTGAGCCAATTGTATCCCAAAACTGTGGAACAGGAAAAATTCAATGAGGTGACATAAAAGTTGTTGGAGTAACTTATCTGCAAGGGAAGCAGACAGGGACGTCCACCCACTGCCTTGGTAATGATGAAGTTTGATGTTTTATCAAATCAGCAAAATCAGATCAGAGCAGCAGTATAGGAAGAAAATTTACTAGTACTTACAAAGCCAGTATCTATTTTAAAAAAAAAGCCATTGGAGGTAAGGGAAACATAGAGGGAATTGGCATATAGAGTAGAAACATTGAGTTGGACCTCCATCAATGTACAGTCAGGGTTAGCACAGTCCTCAACCTGTGTACAGTGCAAAGGACTGTTGACTATATTTTTGCCTTGGTGGCATCTGGTTTGTTTTCCAGAACTGCTGCAGTGGCACAAGCTTTCACAGCACTGGAAGGAGACTATTTTGCCCAGCTGGCCCACAGAACAGACGGAGATTATTGTCAAAACAGTGTTTGCTTTCTTTTGGAGTGAGTTTACTATCCTTTCACAGCTTGCTGGATAAGTCCTGAGGTTTTGGATTAGACGTGAATATGTATAGTGGTGGGAATGGGAATGGGACAAGGAGTTGCTGCAGAACATGGGCTTGGTGGAGGACAACAAGGACTGCTTAGCAGAGGGGGACATAGTATTGGTGTATGATGAGGACTTGGGCTAGGTGCCAGTTTCTCTACTAACTTTGCTGTGCTATCCCCAGTAATGGGGGTCAATAGTTTTAGTGAGAACCCATAACTCCACAAGGGTGTCTGGTTTTCAATGTGGCAGACTTTGTCCTTTATCCTTGATGGGAGTTCCTTGTAGAACTGATAGCGGAGTGCACCTTTGCCCCACCCTTGAATTTGGGAGGCAAGGCAGTTTTATAATGTTAGCAAGGGAGAAACTACCAGGTCACCCATATTGGTATGCTCATGTCCTGGGAATATTTTGTTATCCATTCTACACACAGGCCTTAAAGCCAAGGATCCTTCTATTCAAGAAATAGAGATTTTGTGGGTTTGATGGTTTAGTATAGAACCCGACTACATATCTAGCTTTCAAGAAGTAGGTCTCCAAAAGATTGCTTTTGTTCTGCAAGACGGTGAACTTGCTTTTGGATTTCTGGATCCCTCTTCAGTGATTAGAGGGTGTCATCTAATGAAGGTTAAACAACACACCTACTAAGAGATAGACCCTCTACTGGCTACACATGCAAGGAGCACAACAATTGGATTGCTTTCTACGTGAACGTATAAGGTCTTCTGTTTTTTTGTTGCTGATTATCAACTGTACAGTACAACATGTATTTAAGTATATACAGTGACTCCAAAAACCCTTTCCATGTTGACTCTGGGTGTCATGTATGAAGCATACCATCAAACAGCTTGAGAATTGTACTTAGCTTTGGTGGAGTATTAAATTGTACATATTCTTGGCTATAAAATTCCCCCATAGGTAATGTGATTTGGTTCACATGCTATGGAGATATGGCTGATTTAAAACAGAAAAACCATGAAAAGGGTTTTTTCACTTTTAAACTGATGACTAGAACCTCAGTCAAAACATTGAATATTTGCCATTATGTGTTGGTACAAACAAAGATATATATACAAATAGTATGTCTGAGCTTAAAAAAGTTCACACACTTCTGATTCTCAACCACCATCATGGTCAAATCCCTCCCTTTTAATCAAAAAAGCTTTATCCTTTTATTGCTTGATGTTGGCTACTCTGGTGAAGCTATTTCCAAGAAGACTGGTGTTAGCCCTTCTACTATATCCAAACTTTGTGTCAAAGAGCATTCTTCCCTACCTAAAGCTATTAAAGGTTATTCTTCCAAGCTTTCCCCTACCAATATTTGACATGCCCAACATCTTATTACCTCTGGCAAAGCTGAAAATGCTATTCAAATGACCAAAGCCCTTACCAGCATCATCAACCAACCCCTCTCATCCAATACTGTTTGTCTTCATTTGAAGAAATCTAGTATGAAGGATGTGGTAAAGTCCAAACACCCCCTTCTCTCTACTAGGTATCACAAAGCTTGTTTGGATTTTGCCTATGCTCACAAGGATTGGACTCTAGAGGACTGGAAAAGAGTAATGTGATATGTTGAGACTAAAATCAATTACCTAGGGTCAGATGGACACAAATGGGCATGGAAAAGGGCAGATAAGGGGCTTAGTGATAGACTGATAGATGGAACCCTCAAGTTTGGAGGAGGTTCCTTGATGATGTGGAGCTGTATGACTTGTAAAGCAATTGGATTTGATACCAAGATTGATGGTAGGATAGATGGGGACCTTTACCTTCAGATTTTGAAGGATGAGCTCCAGCAAACCCTAGAGTACACCTGCAGGAAGGCCAAGGACTGGCTAGAGGAACAAGCATTCAATGCTATAGTTTGGCCTGCACAGTCTCCTGACCTAAATTTTATTGAACATCTCAAGAAGAAGCTTGCAGGGTATAAAAACCACCCCCAATGTGATTCATGAATTGTGGGTAAGGATTTAAGTGGAGTAGGAGAAAATACCAGTTGAGGAGTGTCAGAAATTGATTGAAAGTATGTCTAGAAGGATTTAGGCAGTGTTTAGGGAAAAAGGAGGCTATACCAAGTACTGATAACATCCAAATACCCCTTGCAATTCAAAAGTGAAAAAACCCTTTCCATGGTGTTTCTGTTTTAAATCAACCATATCTCCATAGCATGTGAACCAAATCACATGACCTATGGGGAAATTTTATAGCCAAGAGTATGTACAATTTGATACTCCACCAAAGCTAAGTACAATTCTCAAGCTGTTTGATGGTATGCTTCATGCATGACACCCAGAGTCAATAGGAAAAGGGTTTTTGGAGTCACTGTATACCCTTGCAATAGATGGAGACTCTTCAGCAAGTCCTCCTGTTGTATACCAACAACAAACTTGTTCCTACTACTTTGAGTCTACCAACTCAACCTTACCTTTATCACTAC